CAAGCTCTTCTACATCCACCGAGATCAGCTAATCCAGCAAACGCCTGGCGCTCGATCTGCTAATCCACCGTGAGCTTAGATCCAACATTCAGGCAGATCTTTCCGAGACGTCTTCTGGTCTTCGGAGCTTCGGGAATATCCACACTACAGCGGCGTTTGTTTGTTCATTCATTCGCTCGATTGATCATATCCCTCTCTAAGAGCGGTGACAGGAGGATGGAGATGATGACCTGACACCGGGCGTCCAGCGGCTCCTAAATCCACAGCGGTGATACACATCCACGCGGAGCATGACACACAGTTAGCACAATGACCAATGAGTGATGGGAGAATCGTGCAAGGCAATGAGAGGGGACAGAAAGGCTCGCGGTACCTCGTATCTACTCTCCGACTTAAAATCTTGCGTTTAATCCGTCATCGGCGCATACTTCCAAGACCGCGCCGTCCAAAGGGTCGTAACATCCCAGATCTGGCCTAATATCCAAACTCACCCGTTACATCTCCACCAGCCACCGTAAAATCCAAACGGACCGGGATATTCTCCACGTGGGTAATATCCAACTCCGACGAGGGCTATGGCTCACACAGTAATCCCACATTTTGAACACACCCATCTAATCCACTCAATCTTACACCACAGAGAAGGATTAATAATTCCGTGTGCAGGAAGTCAGGCCTCAGAGAGCGCAGAGGAGCTCTAGAATCTGGTCTTAGCAATCAGCACTGTTTAACCCCACCTCAACCCCTGTATCTGACACCACAGTCCCCCTGTAGCGCAGAGGGAGCCTGCGTCCACTTACCCGTCTAGTCTGCGTTCATAGCGCCCCTCTCTGGTGTGGAGAGACACCGGAGGCCCGTACACCGGCCCCACGGTGGCCCTCGAGAATCCCGCAACCTCCCTTGTGTGACTGCTGGAGGGGGTCGCGTCCTCCAGACCCCGCACGGCGCTGGGCACGGACCCCGGCTCGTTGTAGTCGGTGCGGAGGTCCCTGTCCCCCATTTTGTTGACCGCATTGTGCGCCTTCTGAGCGCTTTTAATGTCGACGAAATCCACGAAGGCAGCGACGCCACCCTCAGAGCCGCGCTTGCGCAGGACCTTGACGCTCTCCACACGGCCAAACCTGCGGAGGAAAGAGAAACGCTGTAAACCACACAACATACAACAAAACATAAGTGTGTGTGTGTGTGTGTGTGTTCTGAAGCTCAACTCTGATAACTGGACTGACACCGTTTCAATGCACTATACTCTTCTGTGTGAAGCTGCTTTGACTAGGCTGGGCCGGAATAAGATTGTGACGGTTTGATAACCTGGGATAAAAATATCACGGTGTTGTGCTCACTGCTCTAGCATTTAATCTTTTTAAATGTCTGGGCACAAAACTAAGACTTTTATCTCCTTTGAAAACAATATATTCTGTTTTTTGAAAGATTTGTGATGTTTTGGAGCAGTAAACACTTCAGGCTTTATTATTCAAATAAATCAGTGATTTCTGCGATCTTCATTGAGTTTAAAAGCACAGGTTTCTGCACAAGTTAAAGAATTAAATTTATCTCGTTTTCCAAACCGCTGTCTAGCTTGAAGACGGTGGTATCGCCCCATGCCTAGCTCTGACACCATCTACACTGTAAAAGCGCTACAGAACTGAAGATGAACCGAGTTGATGTTTGACAGCTGACAGTGCAGCCTGCGATTAAAAAGGAACATCCAGCCCTTAAGAAAACACTGTCTTACTACAACATCAACAAGCCAACACAGCAGCTGTAGTTAAACTGAGCTGACCCCAGATGAACGGTGGTGATGGAGACGAGCACTAGTTTACTGAAGAGCTCGCTTCACAGAATAACCGCACGGCTCATTCGCGCTCAGACGTGTGATTAGCGCTGCGACCTCCCCGTTAACTTCGCGACGCGTTTTCCCACAGTTCCGCGCAGAAACGAGACGCCGGCGCGAGGATCTCCGCTGCAGCGCGAAGTTCGTTCTCCTCCGTCAAGTTTGAGGATCGGTTCCTGCTGTTGAACCGGTGAGCCCGTTAGCAGAGAGCTAACCGAGCACGCACACGGCTAGCGTCCGCTGTTCTCGCGCTCAAACGCGCGGTAAACACCGTCGGTCCCGCGGAGCTGTAGCGTGATCGTGAAGCGGAGGTTTTCTGTGGAAATGATCGCAGATTTGAGCAACTAACCCGCCGAGCTACAACTACTGACCCGCGAGGAAGCTAACTGGGTAACTCCTGCCGCCAGCGAGCTATCGGGACCACCGCAGACCGTCGAGCGCTGTTTTTCCGCCTTCCGTCGTGTTTTGACGCTCCGCCGCGGCGGTTTTAATCGTTTTTATGCGCAGTTTTCGTCCGTTTTTCCGCGTCGCGCGCTCCGGCTGTTTGTGTCTGCGCGAGGCCGAGTCTCTGCGCGCGCAGCTCCGCTTCTTGTGTAACTCACCGTTTAAAATGCTCCACAATCTTCTCCTCGCGAACATGTTCGGGTAAATTCCCCACCCAAAGGTGTCTGGTTTCCCGAACCATCCTGCGTCGACCGTGTCCCGTTCATGCACATAGGCGCTTTCGCGTCGTTTAATCTCCGGCCGTGAGGTAAAATCCACTGCTAGCTCGTGTGAGGAAAAAGATCTCGCGGCCGTGCGCGGGCGCGTGAGGGAACGCGCAATGGAACCCTCAGGGGGCGCGCACTGCAACCCTGCGCGGCCCCGCCACTCTGCGACACCTCAGCAGATGTCTGTGCAGCAGCAGCCTTTGACGAATAACTCATAATAACTCTCATTTAGGAGAAGAGTTCATAACAGTGTACTCAGAGTCTTCACATCCAGCTAATGCTAAAACTAGTGTTGCTTAGAGGAGTCTGACACTACTGCTGAAATGCTTTTACTTAGATTTACATCTTGTTTCTAGTCCAAATATCTCCAGATACTCAAATCCAGAAGCATTTTATAGACAAACAAAACATATTGAGCTGTTTCAAGAAGCAATACGCCAAAATTAAGAGTTTTTCCTTAAATCAAGCAAAATAATCTTGTTTTTCCTTTCAGCGTGTGATTCTGCTCACCACACTGGCAGATTATTTCGCTTCATTTAAGGAAAACTCTCTTCATTTTGGCAGATTACTTCTAAAAACAGCACAATATGTTTAGTTTGTCTAGAAAATGCTTCTGGATTTAAGGGTTTGTGGATATTTGGGCCAGAAATAAGATGAAAAATCAAAGTAAAGTGTTTCTGCAGTGTACCGATGATCACCATCTCTGCTGTCTCGGCCAGATATGACCTTAAACACATTGTATGTGATCAGCTCAAGGTTAGGGTTGGGGAAGAGGACGTCCAGCACAACACACACCTCACACACAAACACACTTCACACAGTGCTCAGCATATACGAGTACTCTGTTTTACATTAATACTGTCTACAGGGAGATCTACAATATTATATCTGAGCATATTCATTACATTGCTCAGTACTGAGGCCAAATCTGGAGCTCATCTAATTAAATAACTTACATTAATGGTTCAAAATGAAATTACATTATCAGAAATAGCAAAAATCAAGAGAAACAGAACGTTTATATATATATATATATATAGAGAGAGAGAGAGAGAGAGAGAGAGAGAGATTTGCTGGAATGTTGTAGTTTGTAAATGTGCAATATTTAAATGTATTATCTGCATTTCAAAAGATGTTCTGTGACTAAAATATTATTGTAATAAATATATCTGTTTAATCAATCTATTCTGTTCAGACACACCAGTATATTTTAGTCATAATCACTGAGAAATGGAGGACAATATTCATTTTCAAAATGCGGTGCGCTCGTATATACTGAGCACTGTACACAGCTGAACTCAGAATTATTCACCCCCCTGTTTACTTTGTTCCCTAACTTGTTTAACGGAGAGCAGATTTCACCAACACATCTCTAATCATAACAGTGTTAATAACTCATCTCTAATAACTGGTTTATTTCCTCTTTGTCATGATGACAGTGAATAATATTAGACTAGATATTCTTCAAGACACTAGTGTTCAGCTTAAAGTGACATGTAAGGCGTCACTAGGGTAATTAGGGTAACTAGGCAGGTTAGGGTAATTAGGCAAGTCATTGTATAATGATGGTTTATTCTGGAGACTATCGACAACAAAAATAGCTTAAAGGATAATATTGAGCTTAAAATGCTGTTTAAACAATTAAAAACTGCTTTTATTCTAGCCCAAATAAAACAAATCAGACTTTCTCCAGAAGAACAGACATTATCAGACACACTGTGAACATTTCCTCAACCTGTTCAACATCATCTGGGAAATATTTGAAAAAGAAAAGAAAATCTAAGAGGATGTGAATAATTCTGACATCCGCTGTATAATAACGTGAACTGTTGAAAGCTATCAGTCGCTAGTTCATTAAAGTTATTAGTAACTAGTGAAGCGATGGTAGCTAATCCTCTCAGCGTTTGCAGTAATGTGCAGCTTTAGGAAAGTAAATTCCTGTCAAAATAAACTTGAGTTGGTGAAATATATTTTGAACATTTGGATTAAAATAGTGTGTATGTGTTTTGTCAGCATACATTTAAAACTAACACATTTAAAACTAATACTAATTTAAACAACTAATTGGCTTCAATATTTTGTAGGTGTTTCCCAGAGATGGGTTGCGGCTGGAAGCATAAAAATCTGCTGGATAAGTTGGCGGTTCATTCCGCTGTGGCGACCCCGGATTAATAAAGGGACTAAGCCGACAAGAAAATGAATGAATGATGAAGGTAAACACACATGTGACATGTGACAGTGGAATAGTCTGAACACGTGCAGCAGCTCGTCCGGTGTGCGAGAGGCGTATCTCTGACAGAGTTCAGCTCTTTCACATCATCCTTGTTTTAATTCAGGGATTCTTAAAACATCCATTCTGGGGTTGAAAGTAGATCTCAGAATATATGTGAAATTTCAGATGGATAGATGTGTGTGTGAGGACTGAAAATGAGCTCTAGTTCAGTAAGAGACACTGTTGCTCAGCGTTTATATCTTTATTTAAATACGGCAATATAATATTGTGCTTTCTCCCCGTGTTGGCGTGGGCCCAAAAAGACATGTGGTGCAGGGGAACTGATCAGCTGAATTAGCCGTAGTGTGTGTGAATGAGTGTGTATGGGTGTTTCCCAGTGATGGGTTGCAGCTGGAAGGGTATCCGCTGTGTAAAACATATGCTGGAATAGTTGGCGGTTCATTCCATTGTGGTGACCCCTGATTAATAAAGAGACTCAGCTGAAAGAGAATGAATGATTGAACAGAGGAACAAGAAAACCCTGTAAACAGCAGACCGGTCTGAGACACACATGAAGAGTAATAGTGTCTGCCATGTGCTGTGAGTGTGTGTGTGTGTGTGTGTGTGTGTGTGTGTGTGTTCTCTCAGTGCAGTGTGTTCAGTGGATCAGGGCGCTGTGGCAGGTCCTGCAGAGCATCTGTCCGTCCAGCGGGTGGCAGCCTCGCTCATCCGGCTCCGGGGACAGCAGAACCGCACACACCTGCAGGAGAAAGAGGAGGAAGAGGAGCAGTGTGTGCTGTTCATTATATCTGTCAGATCATCAGGGTTCAACAACATGCCAAACTTCACCAGTAGATTGACAGCACTCCTCTGAAGGGCAGCTGTGATGCAGAGCTGACGTGTGTCAGGGGTTCACCCCAGCAGTGTGTGACTGTCTCCAGCCTCTAATGCTCAACATGGATGAATGGTGTTTGTTATAATCAGACTTGATCAAAATGCTCCGCCTCTTCTCAAATCTCATTTGCATTTAAAGCGACAGTCACCAAAACACCACAGTTGTGGCCCGTTTCCACTGAGTGGTACGGTTCCGTTTAGTACGCTATTATGGCCGTACCGTACCCTAACCCACCAAAAGGTGGAGCTACGCGCGCAGCTGAACGCTGATTGGTTACAGAGATACGTCACGAGCTCGTGGAGCTACACAGAACGTAAACAAAGGAACCGCCATGTTTTTTTAAAATACAAAGCCGAGACATTACATGGAGATACTATCTGCATATAATAACCAGCCATGGATGACCCGCGCTCAAACAAACCTTGCCAAGGAGGAAACATCTGCCGTGTGCTGTTGTTGCTTTACGAGCCCGACCAAAAGTGTGAGCGGTATTCGCTTTCTTCCGGGAGCTTGCGATCGCGTCTATATTTGATATAACGAACTTCTTGAGCTGATGATGATAACGAGTGCGCGATTATTGACCATCTCCGTCATCTGATCTATTCAGAAAGAAAAGGACAAGCGCGAGAGTGAAGCGCGAACAAAGGAGAATTAATAATATATGGGAGACTGTAAGGGGCGGTGTGTGTTCATATATGTGCATTTATATATTTATTTTATTTAATTACAGACGTTACAGTCGCCTATTTCACACTGTCATTGATCTGCAGTTATAGTCAAATCATGTTCACAGAAAAGTCAGTAATAATCATTTATACACAAGCAGTGATGTGTGTGAAGCGTCTGTGCTGTGGGAAGTGCTGCTCAGATGATATGTGAGTGACCAGTGCAGCTTCACTGTAGACATTTATTTGAGTGAGCATGACGGCGACTGAAAGGCTGCGTCCGAAACCGCCTACTACTCAGTAGGTGCTGTATTTGAATGTAAATGCACTACTCGGCCGCTAGAAAAGTGCGTTCTATACAGTATAAATGTCAAACCTATGAATGGGATTCAGACGTACTACATCCGCCATTTTGTCATGGTCACGTGACCTACCTGCATCAGTTGCATTCATGAATTCTCTCGCGGGGCATCATGGGATAGCGCAGCATGCATGGGATGCGCACTTCAGGATCTCGCTGGAAATAGTAAGTCATCCGGGTACTTCTCGCCAGGGCCGGAGCAAGCTGAACTGCCGCTCTAGGCAGAGGACGAACACGCCGCCCTCAACCCCAATGTGAAAACGAAAGTGACCGGTTATGAAAATGAAGTGAGTTGTTGCGGACCTCTATTCTGCCGCCCTATGCGCGGATTTAACTGAGGGTGCTGATGGAGGTGTCGCTGACGCTGCCCTCTTTATTCTGTTGCCTATGCGCGAATATATCTGAGCATGCTGATTTTCCAGCTCTATGTATTCAGACACACTGCTCGGCTGGCATACTGACTTTAGCGTACTGTATAGTATGGAAGTATGCGGTTTCGGACGCAGCCAAACTTTCTGTCATACACCATGCCCACCAAAAGGGACCCCTAGGTAGTGGAAACGCAAGCCTGATAAAGGTGACCCGCACCGACCCGAACCGTACCGTACTGTACCAGTCAGAGGAGACGAGCCATCAGGATCAAAGGCTGAAAGGGTCCGTTACAGAGAGACGGAGGACATCATCTGTGTGCTGTTCTCAGCTCTCTCTCACACACACACACACACACACACACACACACACACACACACACACACACACACCTGACAGCGGTAGCAGTCTTCATGGTACGAGCGACCCAAACACTCGACGGTGAAGCTGTCAGTTCCGTCGTCACGCGGGATGATCATCAGCCCACACACACCGCACTGAGGAGCGTACTTCCTGCAGCACACAGACAGAGTGTGTGTAGTGTAGTGTGTTTGAGTGTGTAGTGTTATCTGTGTGTGTGTGTGTGTACCTGTAGTAGTCCTGCAGGCAGTACACCTCTCCCACTTCCCCCTGTGCGAATCGCTGCTCTCCGATTGGTTGTCGGCAGGTGGTGCAGACGAAGCAGGGCGGGTGATAGGCTCGTTCCAGCGCTCGGATCACATGATCTTTGATGACATCACCACAGGCCCAGCAGGGCTCCAGACTGGCCTATCAGAGAGGATCAGGACACACAGTTAGACCAATGGACACCTAAAACTGCCATGAGGGGCGGGAACGGACCAGCTCTGCAATCATGCAAATTAGTAAGGTCAGACTGGCCAATCATAATGCAGTATTCACTGTGTATCAGTCAGATGGCAGTGCTGGTGTTGTGTGTGTGTGTGTGTTGTGTGTTGTGTGTTGTTGTGTTGTACCTGATGGCAGGCTTCACACAGTGGCAGGCCGGAGCGGCTGTAGTACTGTCTTCCGGCCAGAGGGGCGCAGCACTGACGACACTGGAAACAGCCGGAGTGATAGCAGCGGTTCAGAGCCACAATGGCCGACTCACAGGGAGACACCTGCTTACGGCAGAACCCACACACATCTGACACACACACACACACACACACACACACACACAGATGTGTTAGAGGAAAGAGGAGTGTGTGTGTGTGTGAGAGAGACTGTGAGTGTGTGTTCAGTGCGAGTATTAAATTGAGTGTGTGTGTCTCTCACCGCTGCAGTGTGTGTGTGTGTCTGACTGCTGCTTCTCTTGTCCTCCAGCAGAGGGCGCTGATCTCAGCACAGCTCCATCCTGCAGAAGAAAATATACACATCATTCCAGCTCTCTCTCTCTCACACACACACACACACACACACACACACACACACACACACCAACACTGCTGCTGCAAACACACTGACCTCTGCTGGGCCACCAGACAGGTCACGCTTGGGGTCACAGGGGTCACGGGGGGCAGGAGGAACACCACTCACAACTACAGACACACAGAAAACACAACACACACATTACTGAACACACACACACACACACACACACATATATATGGACACAATCAACAGACCACTTGTTCATCTTGTGTGTATTCATTGTGTGTGTGTGTGTGTATATATATATGTGTGTGTGTATATGTGTATGTGGATGTGTGTGTGTATGTTTGTGTGTGTGCATATATGTGTGTGTGTGTGTGTGTGTGTGTATACGTGTATGTGGATGTGTGTGTGTATATATGTGTGTGTGTGTGTGTGTATACGTGTATGTGGATGTGTGTGTGTATATATGTGTGTGTGTATGTGTGTGTGTGTGTATGTGTGTGTGTGTATATACGTGTATGTGGATGTGTGTGTGTATATATGTGTGTGTGTGTGTGTGTGTATACCTGTATGTGGATGTGTGTGTGTATATACACGTGTATGTGGATGTGTGTGTGTGTGTGTATATATATGCGTGTGTGTGTGTGTGTGTGTGTGTGTGTATATGTGTGTCTGTATACACGTGTATGTGGATGTGTGTGTGTATATATGTGTGTGTATGTGTGTGTGTATATACGTGTATGTGGATGTGTGTGTGTGTGTGTGTGTGCTCACCGTGTGTTCTGCAGGGGCCCGTGGGGGCTGTGTTCTGGGCTCGGGCTGGGCTGTGCTGGCCGTGTGCAGTGGGAGTGACTGTGGCTCTGGACGGGGACGCCAGTGTGATGAAGACAGACGATACCATACGCTTCTGTGGAGCCGCCGACGCCATGATGGAGCTGCAGGAGAGGGAGAGGAGACACTGCGGTGAGTGCTTATACACACAGGAACTGTCAGAACTCAGTACGAGAGGGTTCTTGGTTTTGCTCATCAGGGTCCAGCTGATCTCTGGGGAGATGATGAGGGCTTTAGTTGTGGTTTGAATGGCTCCAGTGAGTCAGCAGTGTGTGTGTGGGAATGGGAAGATCGCTCCACCAGTGAGGAACAGTGAACGAGAAGGTTCTGGAACGTGACTTATAGCCTCTCTGCGAAAGAACCACAAGGCAGCGCTCACTCCCTGATCGGAGGGGATGTATGTCTTCAGCAGCAGGTGGAGGTGAGAGGCTGCAGTGCCGGTGGCCATTCTGTAAGGAAACATCAGTGACTTGAATTTGGTCCGAGTCTCGAGCGGTGACCAATGCTGAGAGATGAAGAGAGGAGTTCCACGGGCTCTCACCGCAGAGCAGACGAGCTGCAGCCTTCTGGAGCATCTGAAGGAGGAGCACTGCACCAGGCCAGCCTCCAGGACAGCAGAGCTCAGACTCAGAGATGAGGAAGGGTCTGATCTACTGATGATGAAGAGCGAGACCTGCATGATGGAGCCGTGTGAGCACTGTGCTCTTTGACGGACAGCTGATCATCCAGGATTACCCCATGATTCCTTACTGAACTACATGGGGTAATGGTGGATGATCCTAGCTGGATGGAGAAGTCATGTTCTGTGTGTGTGTGTGTGTGTGTGTGTGTGTGTGTGTGTGTGTGTGACGTTGCAGGGAAGATGAGAAGTTCTTTGTCAGGTTCAGGAGAAGGTGATGCTCTTTTATCCAAGCTGAGATCAAATGAAAGCATAGCGATGATAAGAGAACCATGCGAATGGATGACGACTCCCAATAACGAATCCCCATATTGATCCTGTGGGCCAGCCTGAACACCCGCCGGTGACCTACTCCCACCTGCAGGTTCTCCACGATGGACGTCCAGCGTTCTCCAGCCTCCAGCGCCTGGACTGCAGCTCTGCACAGGAAGTTTGGTCAGAGGAGAAATGGTGAGCCTCCACTGAGCCTGGTTTCTCTCCTTCACTTTGGCCCATTGGTGTAGTCGGATCTTCCACTGTCTCCACTGCTTGGTTTGGGTCTTGTGTTTCTGTGCATGGATGGATTTGCTCTTCAGTGTTTGGACTCTCGGCAGTGAAGATTAAACCACACTGAACTGATCTTCAGCTCTGAACACTGGACTGACACCGCTTCAGAACTTCAGTGTTCAGCTGCTGCCGCACACTCTACACTGGAGAAGAGCTGGAGGAGCACAGAGGAGCTGAACTGATGTGGTGTGAATAGAGAATAGTAAGAGACCTGGAGCAGATCCCTGAGGTGCTGCAGTGTCCGGCTGATGAGCTCTGGATTCCTCTGCAGGCAACTCTGAAGGATCTGCGGGTGAGGTCAGACTCCAAGCAGAAGAGCGGGGTCCAGCGATGCCAGACGCAGCTCCAGTAAAAGCAGAATGGACGAACTAGAAGCTGCTTTGGCGATTCATGGAGCTTCAGTGAGCGAGAGCAGTGCGGTCTCAGTGGAAATGAAGTGTTGATGATGTGTGTTGGGGCCGGGGACATGTCCTGCAGGGTGTGTGAGGGGATCAGGTCCAGAGATGGGCAGAGGGGAGAGGGGAGTTCTCAGCAGGAGGTGTTGTTTGATGGAGAATTGGGATGGACATGGTAAGAAACAGACGGCTAATCTGCTGCCCGATGTTCCCTCAGAAGGCTTAGAGGGAGGAGAGCTCACCGGCCCGGTGGAGACAGGACAGAGCTCATCTAGGCAGGAGGTTAAAGAGGAACAGGGTGGTTTCGTCACAATACTTACATCACGAAGTGAGAACTGGCTGAGGGAAGAGAAGATGTGAGAATGGAGGAGGGTTTAGTCCATACAGATGCACAGATCCTGCCTGTTAATCGCTAATAAAATGCTCTTTCACAAGTGAGTGAACGATTCTCACACAGACGAGGGGTTAAATTACAGACACTGCAGACTGAAGAGAACAGAAGAGCTGTAAATACTGCAGAAATAACGAGAAACACGGTGAGCAGAGCTCTGATGACTACAGCTGAGGACATCTCACAACAACACATCACCGCTGCTGCACCATGGAGGAACACTCAACTCTGGCTGTTTTAGACGTGTGTGTGTGTGTGTGTGTGTGTGTGTGTGTGTGTGTGTGTGTGTTAGGTGTGTCTTCAAGACCAAAGTCTGATGCTTCAGTCACTCACTGCAGTGTTGAGCAGCTGTTGGATATACAGCACAGAAACATTCCCGCATATCAGAGCCGGAGTACAGGAGAAAACACACCGTGTGGGAAACAGCAGAGGGACTGACAGAGGAACACACACACACACACTCACACAAACACACACAGAGAGAGATGAATGCGGAGGAGAAACGAAAGCGTCTCAAACATACCTGAACAGCAGATCAACTCCTCTGTGCTCACGATCAGTGGAGACGAGAGAGAGAGAGAGAGAACGGCACGCCTCTTCCTCCTCTCTCTCTCTCTCTCTGATCAGCAGAGGTGAAGAGTTAAACAGTCACTAGCTGACAAAGAGCAGTAAAATATGACACACACACACACACTCACACACACACACACACACACACACACACACACACACACACACACACACTCACTCAGGCATGTCTACACACAGAAAGGCATGCAGTGACACACACACACACACACACACTTTTCCTGTGCTTTATCACACAAAGGCAGCAGGATGTGACTGTACCTGCCCTTTCCAGCTCTCTCTTTCTCTCTCTCTCTCTCTCTCTCTCTCTCTCCGTCTGTCTGTCTGTCGGCTCATTGTTCTCGCTCAGTGTTGTTTTGTTAAACTCCCCTCTTTTCTCTTCCCTTCCCCCACTGCACCGCTCTCAACCCAGACCCGACTGCAGTCACTGACAACTACACACACTATAAACAGACCAAACAACCAACAACAACTACAACCAACACATAAACTACACACAAACTACACCCAAACACACTAACTACAACCCAACACACAAACTACAACCCAACACACAAACTACACCCAACACACCAACTACAACCAACACACAAACTACACCCAACACACCAAACAACCAACACACAAACTACAACCAACACACAAACTACACCCAACACACAAACTACAACCAACACACAAACTACAACCAACACACAAACTACAACCCAACACACAAACTACAACCAACACACAAACTACAACCCAACACACCAACTACAACCCAACACACAAACTACAACCCAACACACAAACTACAGCCAAACACACATGCCAATCAGAAACTACAACCAAACACACACACACACACACACACACACACACACTATCACAGACTACACCAAAACACAGACAACAACTAACACACAAACTACAACCAACAACTCCACACACACACACACACACACACACACACACACACACACACACACACACACACACACACACACACTACAGCCCCTGTGAGGTCAGTCTGAGCGGTGTGCAGTGTGTATCCTCTCTGGTATGAACAGCAGAAGCTGCAGATGAAACTTTAAGGTCTAAAAGCCACTCGAACTCTCCGAGCGTCTCACATAACAATTGTGTAGTACACAGCAGCTAAACTAACGGCTTGTTGAGTTACTGACACAGTGAGCATGAGCTGGACTGCAGGGTGATGGGCTGTGCTGGAGCTGCAGCAGGAGTGTGTGGAGAGGGGAACAGCAGAGTAACAGCCTGATGGAGACTCCGGTGTGACCTCCGTCCTGCAGGAATCTGGAGGAGGAGCAGCGGGAGGGGGAGGGGCTGAGGAATGTGCCAGTGATGTCACAGACATGGGGAGGGGCCATGACATCATCCTCCACTCACAGGCCTCTATCACAAGAGGACCCATGGAAAACACACACACACACACACACACACACACACACACACACACACACAGAGAGAGAGCGATGAGTTCATCCTGTTGGTTGTGCAATAGTCATCATTTTACAAGCGTTACATGCTGATCAATCTGACACGCTGTACAAGACTACAGCTCAAGTGAAGAAGTCATCTGTAGAAGCGCCCGCTTCCCTCACGAAGGCTGTGATCTAATATGAGCTGGCCAGGGGAATGTGTGTGTGTGTGTGTGTGTGTGTGTGTGTGTGTGTGTGTGTGTGTGTCTGTCTGTCTCCAGCATCTCTGATAATCAACATGAGTTTACTGTGTTTGTTCTAATCAGACTTGATGAATGCAGAAGCTCTGTGATTGTGATTGACATTCTCCCGCTGTACGTGTCATCAGAGGGGGAAAGCCCCGCCCACTAGCGCACATCTCTGACTGTAATCTGACTCTGACTGTTCCTGAAGTCTGTAGTGGACATGATGTAGGAGCCTCAAACACCACTAAATCAGCACTACAGCAGTGTCAGTATCTGCCGTTGGAGTGTGTGAGCCTTCTGTGGTTAAAATGACAAAAAAAACAAACGCATACATGATCGATTAGACTCTTA